CCAAAAAAAAAAAAAAAAAAAAAAAAAAAAAAGGAAAAGGAAAAAAAAAAACAAACTTGTGATATTGAAACATGAATGTTTTTGCATCTTCGTGTTCCTCAAAAATAAGCGATACTGTATTTTCAGCAGATTTCCATACTTTCTGAAAAAATTACATGGATAAAAACCAACTTATTTAACACATAATGGGGGGAGGGGCATCAAATAAATAATAAGAATAGCCGGAAAAGGATTCGATGTTAGTAATACTACTAGAATGCCCTTACACGCCGCGAGAAAAAGCTATGCCAGCTTCGACCCTGAGCTACAAATTAGCTGAGCCAAAAAGATAAGCTGAATTTGCAATTGCCACAGTCAAAGGCAAAATCGCATTCATTGCGTACGAGAGGTGGAGATACACGGAACCAGCTAGAATGGTTGCCTCCAGAAGTGGCCAGCCCCTGATAAGACTGTTGATGGTCACCATTTCTAAAGGGCTGCTTAGAATTTAAGCAAATTCATAAGAATTTTGGCTCGTTGCCAAATGGCAGTACCAATTAACCACCAAAAAAAACGGGGGCAGGCAATTTTACTGGCAATTTAACACGTCATGAGAAAGATTCTGTCCGTCAAACAAATGTTTTCGTACACTGATCTATTACCATATGCTGAACTGTCTTACACACATACGCATAATTTAAAGAGTGAGCTACGATAGGTGAATTTGTTGCTGAGTAAATAATTCATTCAGCAGACATAATAAATGGCTAGTGCACCGACTGCCGGCGCAAAGATGCGTTTTTTGCATAATCCTCCGCATTTTTTCTTACTGACACCACCGGGTTTTTTCGGCAAATGCTTCTTAGCTAAGAGAATTGGGACTGGCTACTAGGGCTGTCTGAAAACATCAATTTAAATTTTCAGTTTTCTAGCCTTCCGAGTTAGCAACTTACCCGAGAAAAACATTCACGGGTCCATACGTGGGTATCACGCATACCCGAGGGCTGGGCTTAAACTTATTAATAACTCATTAATACCTTGTTCGAACTTATTAATACCTGGGATTCTAAGAGGATGTTTCCCACAGAATAGCAGTCTTCTAGTTTTTCAAGTTCCCGAGTTAGCAACTAACCCGAAAACTTTGGCGGGTTCGTATGTGGGTACCACGCGGGTAAGAGCGCCCATTTCGGAGATGAGGCCCGCACATCCATGTAGATTAATCCCCCGAATTTTCAGCCCTGCAGCTTTTGTAGGTCTCGAGATGAAAAACCGGTACAAGCGCACAGCACACACACAGACAACTTATCGTCAATATGCGTTTTCTGCTTTGCACAGATGCAAAAAACGCATAACAAATGCCAGTAGTACTAGCGCACTGACCACCAGGCGAAAAATGCAGCACTGATCAAAGCAACTGGATAAGTTGTCAGAAGAATAAGTTAATGAATTTGTGTGTTTTCTAAGAACTCCGAGCATTATTTAGGATATACCCTTTATTAATTATCCTAATATACGTGGAGAACATATTTTTAGCAGTTTTATAAAGCTCAATGGAATGAATGATTGCGAAAACTAGACCTTAGTGCGTCCAACTGTTCCAGCAATGATACGAATTTTTTCCAGATTAATTGCTGCTCCGTTTGCTGATTTGACCACAACAGCCAGATATGCCTTCATTTTGCGCGGTCTCTCCGAATGCTGCGGAATTTCTTCAGTTTTTCGCTTTCCACTCCGATCTCCAGCTACTACAACTGCTGCTGTTGCTGTTGCTGGTGTTGCTGCTGCTGCTTTGTGTTGCTCCATTGAGACGCCACTGTTGCTGCTGCTGCTGCCGTGGTTTGGAACCAGCTGCGCTTTCTTCATAGGACTTACGGCACTGCTGCTATTACTGCCGCTGCTGACTGCACTTTTTTGGGTTGTGACTACAACAACGGTTCGTTCGGTGCGACTAGTTCTTCCCGAATTTGGTACACTGCTCGATCCTGTGCTTACAGGCTCCTGCTTCTTACTGCTTCGGATCTCCCGGATCTCCTCCTTTCTTCGGTACGCATTTTCGGTGTCACGTTTTCTGTGTCGATCATCCTCCACTCTTCGACTACGTTCCGATCGTCGTTCTTCCGGTCTACTGGCGTATCGGGAATGTCGCGACGACTTGTCACTTGTATGCGATGTAACTGATCTGCCAAAACTCTGTACCGTTTGAATACGTCGCTCTTCTTTTTTGCGCAAAATCTCTTCGCGCATTTTCTTTTGCTCCTCCAGCTTCGTCAGATATTCATTGTCCAGGCCTATTGCTTTGGCGCACTCGATCGTTTTTTCCTGCAATATCTGCATACTACAACAGAAGCCGGTACTGGGCATTTATCGGCGTTTCGCAATTCTTAAAAATCCCAACCACAGAACAAAAATTTATTCTTTGCCAGAAACGTTTTTTTTTTTTACCTCGAAATGTGAGGTATTTTTTACCTTGTTATATGACTCCTTTCCTAAAATAAGACAAATTTTAAAGTGAAAACTGGGCACTCTCAGTCTGTAGTCACCAATACTTTTTACTGGTCTCAGATCATAAGGATAAAGCTTCGTTCCCGCAACCCGTTATTTAACACCACTCATCGCTTTATCAAACTTAGCCAGGCATATCTCTACTGTCTATATGGACTCATATGCATTCGTATCGCCACTGATGTAAACTCAGTCAGCGTAAATTCTTCCCAGCGAGAATTTGCCTTGGAGCGCAAAGTCCCTATTCTGATTAACACCAATCCCAATATATTTTACCTTTGCGCTCAGCAGACGTGAAAAATTCTAACGCCTGAGCAAAATTTGGTCGCAAACCTGTTTTACTACTTCATTTTCGTAATTTCTGCGGCGATCTGAGTGACGCGGTGTTTCGCGACGACCACCACTCGAACGCCTTGGACGATCCCCGAAACGTCGGCGGTGCGTATCGTTTCTGAAAACAGCAAATTACCTGGATATTGCAGGAAATCTGAATGTCCATTTGATAAATTTTAAAAAACAATTTCATCCTAGAAGGCCCACCCTTCTCGTAGCAACTGCAATTGTAGCGGACAGAATTAACCAAAAAAAAAAAAAATAACTATGCTGATAAATTCAACTAACCTTGAACGATAGGCGGCGGAACGACGTGATGAGGAACGATGGTCACGCGAGCGAAAACGGCGAAATGAACGCGACGAAGATCGTGACGTTGCGGAAGAGCTCGACGATTTCGATGAATACGAGCGCGATCTGTTCATAAAAACATTCATTACGAATCAAATCTGGCAAAAAAACAGAGTACTGGCAAGTGCTGCTGCTACGCTAGCGCAGAAAATCGAAGGTTCGACCCATGCTTCGTTCATTTGCTTTGATGGTAAAATGGTACTGGAAGTTATAAAAAGACTGCTAGCAGTTTGTTTATAAGCAATCTACCGTACAGGAAGTTCCCGGCAACCTTACCAACGGTTGGTTGATGCCGGAAAACGCTCAAAATACAAGATGTGGGGCGTTTCGGGGCTTTAATTTTTAATGAGCAAAAATATCCATCCTCCATCTTCCTCTGCATTTTAGCTGCTTGCTTCTAACCAAAAAAGGGTAAATAGGGGAAAAAACGAAGCAGAAGTGATTAACGCGTTAACACCTAACCGATACCAACAATTTGCTCAAACAGACTGTCGATGTTTCAACTACTGAAATTTCTTGAAAATCAAGTTAAAAGAGTGCTATCCTGAAGATTCTCGCCCCAACCGCTTGTTGGTGTCTGTGTTTGCAACTAAGGGATGAAACATAGGCAGATGGCCAAACTGTAATAATTAAAGGCTTGCTGATTTGTCGCCAACATGGCTCATCGAGCTGTTTTTTTTTTTTTTTATACCCAAAATTTGACCGTTACGCATATCTCTTCCATCACTCGACAATTTAGAAATTGAATAGAATGATGACCTCATGTCCCTGCTTTCAACGCCCGAATATACACAAGTTAATGGACCGAAACATTTCTTACCAATTATAAATATTTTAATATTTCCCTTCCCCTTTTTTCACTTCATTCTCTTCCTCTTCTTTTTCCTCTCCTCATTTTCTACCTTAGCTTTAAATACACTTATTTACTCTCGATGCGAGGACAACTAACATTTGACTAACAATTAAGCAAGTTTTTTGGTGCGATCACGATCAGTTTTACTTCATCTGTGTAAATCAAAATAGCACACACATTAAAAATATAGTAAAAAAACGATTATTTTGAATCTGATTAACTTTTTAATATCAATTAAAAGTGACTTGATTTTAATGACTACTGGAAGCCAATAATGCACAAAGTGTTTTGCATAAATATTACAACTGCCACACAAAATTCCTTTGTTTTCATCGCAAAATTTTGCGTTGAAAATCCTCTAAAGTAACGAAAGGCACTACTACAGCCCATCAGCTGGCCAGGTTCCTCACTATGCATGCAGGAAAATTGGGGTGCAGCCACAAACCAGGACAAAGCAAGGGTGCCAAGGCAATTCCATATCATTCATTTATTACAAATAAGCTTTACTAGAGCCCCCTTTTCAAAAAAAAAAAAAAAAAACGAAGCAGAAAAACCGGAAATGCTATGCGAAAATTTTGGACCGAAATGCCGAACCTGTATCGTGAGGATGAGGAGGAAGATCGAGATGAGCGCGTGAAACGTGACCGGCAACGAATCGATGTGCGACGCAGGAAACCATCAACCATTTGATTCCACTGGCCAGCTGTCGGTATCGGTACAACTGAGTCAGTCACGTACTGATTGGGAAAAACCGTTGGAGGGGGTGTGGAAAAGACTGGAAGTGGCATTATCTGCGGTGGCGGACGCGAGAAATCAGCAGACGACGTGGCCGACTGAAAATATTAGCCAGATTTGCATAATCCAGATGAAGTGATGTTTAGCCTTATAGCCCAAATCATTCACAGTTGAATAGGAAAGGAACTGTAATGCTGTTGTAGGGCCGAGACGTCGGCTCAGACACCTTTTCCACAACTGTCTGATCTGCGTTTCGAAGATAAATGCGTATATGAATGAATGGCAGTAAGCCCAACCAATTTCTGCATGATGTCAGGCAGCCTCCAAGAAATAAATGGCCAGCGCATCGATTGTCGATGCGAAGATGCGTTTTCTGCATAGTTCCCCGTAGTTTTTGTCCTGCCGGCACCGGTTTTTTCGGCGGATGCTTCTAGCTAAAAGAATTGCGAGGGACCGTAAGGGCTGTCAAAAAACATCCCCTTAAAAATTGGCTTTCTAGCTTTCCTGGTTTCCGAATTAGCAACTTACCCGAAAAACTTTTCACAGGTCCGTACGTGGGAACCGCGCATACCTGGGGGCAAGGTTGGACTCATTAAGAACTAAGTAGACGAGGAACATCCTGTTAAAATTCCAGTCCTCCAGCTTTTCATGTTCCCAAGTTAACAATTTACTCGTAAAAAACTCCCACGGGTTTATACGTGGGTACCACGCATACCTGGTGTCTGGGTTTGAGGTCATTAACATCTGCGTGGACGAGGAACATTTCCTTAAAATAAAAGTCTTCTAACTTTTCAGGTTCCCGAATTCGCGAATTACCAGCAGAAAAATTTGACAGGTCCGTACGTAGGTAACACGCATGCCCCGCGGGCTGAGTATGAATTCAGTAAGACCCACATGGATGAAGAACGTCCCTTTAAAATTTCAGCTTTCTAGCTTCTCTGGTCCCTGAGTTAACAGTTTGCCCGTAAAAAACTTTAGCGGGCCTGTACGTATCAAGCGGGTAAAAGCGCCCATTTTGGGGATGAAAGCCCGTACATGCATGTAGATTAACTTCACAAAGTTTCAGCCCCGTTGCTTTTGTCGGACAACCCCTCGTCAATACGCGTTTTCCGCAAATAATTGGCCAGAGCACCGACTGCCAGTGCAAAGATGCATTTTTTTGCATAGTTCTCCGCAGTTTTTGTCGCTACCGGCAAATGCTTCTAGCTAAACAAATTAAGACTGGCCGTCAAAACTGTCAGAAAACACCCCCTTAAAATTTCAACTTTCTAGCTTTTCTGGCTCCCGAGTTACCAACTTACTCGAGAAAAACTTTTACGAGCCCGCACGTGGGTGCCACGCATGCCCGGTGTCTGGGTTCGAGCTCATTAACACCTACGTGAACGGGAAACGACCTCTTAAAATTCCAGTTCTCTAGCTTCTTAGGTTCCCGAGTTAGCAACTTACCCGAAGAAAACTTTGGCAGGACCGTACGTGAATACCACGCATACCCAGTGTTGGGTGTGAGCTCACTGAGACTTAATCGGACAGGAAACATCTCCTTCAAATTAAAGCTTTCTAACTTTTCAGTTTTCCGAGTTAGCGACTTGCCCGAAGATTTTGGCGGGCCCGTGCGCCGGACCACGCATAGCCGAGGGCCGGTTTTGAGCTCAATGAGACATGGGTGGACGGAGAATATCCTCTTAAAATTACAGTCTTCTAGCTTCCCAAATTTTCGAGTTAGCGACTTCAAAAAAATTTTGGCGGGCCCGTGCGTGGGCACCACGCATAGCCGCGGGCTGGGTTTGAGCTCACTGAGACTTGCATGGATAGGAAACATAAACATCCCCTTAAAATTACAGCTTTCTAACTTTTCAGCTTCCCGAGTTATCAACTTACCCGAAAAAAACTTTGGCGGGCCCGTAATGGGTATCACGTGGGTAAGAGCGCCTATTTTGGGCATTGGGGCCCGTACGTGCATGCAGGTTAAGTTTCCAAAGTTTCAGCCCTGTAGCTTTTGTAGGTTTTGAGATGAAAAATCGTAACAGATGCACATACAAACACACACACAGACAACCCTCCTCAGTATGCGCTTTCTGCGTTGCACAGCTGCAAAAAACGCATAAGAAGTACAGACGGCTTTACCACACGGTGAATTTTGTCAGCCGAGATCTATCTGCCAGCCAATCCCAAGTGCTTTTTTCCCCCCATTAAATGTGGGGAGAGGGAGTCGATGTTTCCTGATAGGACAAATTCTTAAGCTTCATTTTCTTATTTATTATAAATGCTGCACCCAGCGAAACTTACCGGAAAGGCAAGCGGTTGTTGTGGCGGCATCATTGGAACGTTGAGCGGCATCGGTACTGGAGGACGTAGAAGTGATGCATTCTGAACACGCTGGGCACCACCGTCCCAGGGCAAACGCACTGCAAATAACAGACTGTTTTCGAAAAAAAAAACTGCAAAAAATACTAAGAAATTAATATTATTTTCAACCAGCGCTACATCAGAAAGAGATAACTACAAATCGGTAAACTACCACCCCATCGCGGTCCAAGAATGGAATGTTTGCAAGGCCCGATACACACCAGGGACATCTTAAAACAGCTAACCACATGGGAATTGCTGGTATCGGGAGAAACACTGAGCTGACTGTCCGTTTGGGAAACGAAGCAAACGTCAGAACCCTCCAGCAGGACGACTATTAGGCGATGCAGCATTGGTCAGAGCAACTGGAAAAGTTGGCAGCTGCATATTTTGAAATAAATAGCAACGCGCACCAGACTAGCCGGTGCGATCATGCGTTTTGTGTAATTCAGCCCATC